CTGAAAATCTACCTTTATCAGAGATAGATTATGATTATGAAAACAGTATAGTCGCTCTGATCAATGTTTCGTTATGTGGGGTAGCCATACTAGTGTCTTCTAACTCCTTTAATATCCTTTTAAGAATTTCAGTAATCACAGCCCCCTTTGCATTGTTTTCCAGCTTCACAGTTTTTATCACCCGTCAAAACCTCAAACAATGCAATATGCATATAATGACAAGATGCAAAACGTTTGTCAGTCCTTTTGATACGTATCCAGTTAAAAAGACGTCAACCATGGTCACAGGAATTGATGATGACCAATAGGTAACCTTAATTGGAAGATATATTGTGTCTCCTTCAGCAACTATAAAGGATGCACAAATGTAGAACAGGACTATGCTGTCTGTCAATGGAGGACAGATCAGTCTACAAACAGTAAGGGCCAATAGTGTTGAGTAAAGCGTGGAGTTCTTGAAACTGCTTTGAAACAGTTGGTCGAGCCAGAAACAGGCTTCAGTTACTCAAACAAAGACCACATGTCTTGGTATTTAAAATGGGGTAAAAAGGGAACTGATGCTTCATTTATTTTAACAAAGTAGGTTGCAAACATTTACTCCACAAAATTTCTAATGTCATAAATTCCAACACTATATTTTCTTACACGGACATGACTTCATCAAAGTTGTTCTATTACAGGAATGTGTTGTAGAACGTAAACTCTGCAGCACATGGTGTAAACCCGTAAACCCGTTTTACTGAGGGATATATTGCTTGGTACACCGAATATACAACAAAACTCCTGCCCTTAACAAAAATCCATTTTATAGTCTAGGACTGTCCGCATATTCATAGAAAACATGTGCGACACAAGGAATTAATAACAAATAATTTTCACAAGCTCAAAGGATTTGCTGAAATCGTTTCCATCTCAGAAAACAACCAAGTTCAACTTTGTACACCACTATAGCATATTACAATTTAAAGAAAAAAAATCAATCCTTGATCCATTGGAAATGTGTTTAATTGTGAAAGCAAAAGTCTTCCCAAGGTCCATAGAAAACAATTTCTGAAATGCTCCCTCATTGATAACGTCTATCAGTTTTTAGGTAGAATCCCTATTGATCCCTATGGATCCCTATCCCTAACCGTGCTCCCTCTCTCTCCCTCTGGCCTGTTTCGTCATGCACATGAATCGGAATTGCAGCTCGGATCAAAACAAAAACTTAAGCCCTAAGTACATTGTTGATCTGATATAATTTAAGAAAACCTACCGATTACCCAAATCCCCTCCACCACCTGGTGTCGTTACTAGGGTTTCAGGGATCCAATCATACAATCTGACTGTTTGCCCTTTAAGTCTAATGGAAATTGTTTCATCGGGTAATCGAGACCGCCTCATATGTTTCAAATTTATATATGCATACATCTTCAGAGGGAAAATGGATTCTCCACAAACCTATATGATGAAAGGGGTGAGTTCAACTTTCCAATAGTCAACATTCCTTTTAAGTCGCCCAATATTCCAGCAGCTCTGGCCCTTTGTGTCTGAATTTTTGAAGTTCTATCGAGCATATTCTTGTCACCAAGTGCGCCATACGAACCTTGCTGAAAAGGTGATTGGTCAAGGTTATAGCAAGGACTTAGTGAAACTTGTAAAGGACTTTTCCAAATTTGTGCATTCATGACAAAATATATGCAATTCCCTTTTCGACTTTCCCCATATATTCTTGATTTTCCAGATGGACACGTGAATTGCTTTCCCATGTGTTAACGATGCATGTGACCTGACTGGATATTCTCACCATTCCCGAGCACATGCCTTTGTGTCTCTCTCATAGTGATTAAAAAACCCCACATGGTTATAATGTAGTGAGAATCGTAGGAAGGTCTTTCAGTGGCTTCAATGCATCTGGTGACGTTTGCCAGGTACATGCTGAGCTCATCTATTCCACATGGTGGCCAAGCTACTCGTACCGATGTTGTGTACCTGCAAATTAATTTGCGAAAGCTTCTTCGTCCCTTGACTTTCAATACCGTTAATGGCGAGATGCTTGAACGTTCTATTCACGTACTCAATACAAGGAACAAACCGCGGCTTATATCGACTTTCTATTCGTCAGTTCCTGCAATTAATTACTCTACATTGTACCATGGAAGTATTTCAGTGGACTTGTAGGTTATATTTGTGATATAATGTTGGTTGTGAAGAGACCGACGGACAGTGAACCGCTACACTGGCATGTTATGATTAATGTGGGTGGTATTCCTACATCATGGCGCCTCTTCATTACCCTTCTTGCGCCTCTGTTTGTGCACCCATCACTCATGCGTGTTTCTTTTGCAAGTCGATGAAAGCAATTATTCACGTTATGTACCATTTCTCCGAGCGCTCTTAAAGACGGTTTACGTTGTACAATCTCCTGACAGTTGATTCTCTGCAGTTTATTTCTAGACATCCTAGCTCATTCTGAACGCCCTGTTTAATCTGTAAGTGCTGTCGGCCATATCGTATCACATTAAATGCGGAAGGCAGTATATCTAAATTCATAACTAAGACATACATTTCGCTATCGCTGTATCGGGAATACTACACTGTGTATATCTCAGTGTTGGAAATAATGTACCTTCATATATGGATCAATTTCAGTGTATTAACATAGTATCTTTAGTCTCGCTGCTAATGCCTTTTTTATGTCCATCTTATCATGTGAATAACATTTGGGATGGTATACACATAGTCACGTGAAAGGTACTTAGGATACTAGACTTGACACGTGAGATTAGAATGGAACACTGAGAATGATTTTAGAAACACGCAGCGAAGACCACTTTCAAGAAACACACACAGCAGAAAACATTCTAGAATTCTAGATTCAGGCAAGCAGCGGACACCTAGACACAGTGCAAGGTATATTCATGCCAACGGCAGAAAACCGTGAACTTTCTTTAAGCTATTCTGTGTGAAAAACTTGACAATATTGTAAGCTGTGTACTTATGGTTCTCGAGCAGACCGTGCTCTGGAACGTAATTAATCCCACGGCATTAGTTAGATGGTGGTAGCGTCGTGTGACTACATCCTCGTCGGCGGCTGCTACAACGACCGTCGGCTATTGACATGGAGGGTGGACACGGATGCGGGGAATCAGTCAGGTCCTTATTGTCGCTTCCCATGGCAATTTCAGTAATGAAGAATGTAGCACAATGAGAATGCCCCGTACCAGGCTATCATAAAGGCACTGAGTCGGATCAGGGACATTGTGGATATTGCCAGAATTGATATTGTCAACCACACAGGTCCTCAAGTGCTTAGCACAGTTCGATATGTTACACACTACTAATGTGCTTCTGCCAGCCATTACTCTATTTAAGATATGACCTAGCATATGGCCAATGTAACTTTGAGGGGCTCCTAATGCTTATGATGATCTCAGCACTGCTTAGTGGGGATATATAACTCTGTCAGAAGAAGTGGTTTTGTTAACGTAGCACTCAGAAAGAACCCATAGATATTAAGTCTACAATATGTGCTCTTTAAACACAGGGTAAAATGGAATCTGAATAACACCAAGTATTAAAACTTAGATGGGTATATACAACATAGATGCTGTTGAAGAACCTCCGTTTCTGTAAAACCTTTTGTAAAAATATACACGCACCGCATGCAGTAGCACACACGTCAGAGGGGAGTCATTCCTGCTTTTTATACTTTGAAGGAAAGACGATTAATCACATTATTCTGTCAATCCTGTTTGTTCTGCTGGATTCAATTATCAATCAGGTGTTTAAGTATTAACAAGCAATACGGTGTATGCGTGAAGTGGCCAATACGTTCAATGTTTCACAGTTCTTGATATGCACACTATCGAACAGGTACCAACGAACCCCCAATGTTGACCAAGTGGACCACGTTCAGGACGTCGTGGTCAACGGCAAGAGTAAAGGGTCCACTGATCTAAAGCCATGCTCTACGAAATTGATTTCAAACGCCCAACTTCAATCAGGCAACTGGAGTAAAGCTCCACGGCAGACTATTAGAGCTGGTCTACAAGAAGCTCATCTCCATGTTCGACTGCTGTGTGTTGTGGGGCTCCTTACAGATCGTTGCATTGCCAGCATGAGTCAATGCTGTACACCACGTCGCGGCTGGTCACGTTTCATGTTTTCAGATGAGTCCAAATTGACTGTGCACATGCTTGGTATGCCTGGTTGTGAACGTCAAGTCAATGTCAACGTGAGACCTAATGTCGATGGGGGATCGCTTATAGTGTGGGTTGGCATCTCAGTGAGTGAGCCAACGATACTACATACTGTGCAAGGAGGGGTCACTTGATAGTGCAATAGAGACAATATACTGGCACCCTTTGTTGTCCAGTTTGCAAGGCATGTGGAAAGAACACACATCCATCACCATTCGTTTATGTTCACCTTCCACCAGCACAACAGCTATAAGATTCCATGGTCACATGTGAGGGAGACGCGTGCGTCAATGTCATAGGCGATCACATTAGCTGAACGTCGGTGGACGCTGCAAGAGGAGTAGGAATGACTCCCTTACATCGTCATTGGGAGACACATACGCTGTATGCCTCGTCGAATGAATCAATTGTTGACAGACAGTGGCAAAATTGCTCACTGCTGGTCCAAACATGTCATCTCTGAAATTCCCCAATTCAGCTTTAACGTCCTTGAAGATCCCTACGGTTTATAATGTCTTCCAAAGTTAAGAAAAATAGGATATTTTATCAATGACAAATTCTTTTCTTACATATTTCTCATGACATCCATGTCATCCACACAGCATCCTACCTTTTGTATTTGTCATCAACTTCTAAAATGCCAATAAAAGAGACGGTCAGCATTTGTCCATTACTAACATACAGCTACAAAACTAGAAACAAATATCCCTACAGCCCGTGGTAGTTAGGGTTATTTCCGAGTAACTTTACTCTTGAAGACTGTATGTCACAATGTATGTCACATATTGCAAATTGAACATCTTGTTTGTCTTTTTCCAGAAGAGCTGCCTCCCCTCGTGACGGAGTCCACTGAAAAGCTTCTGATCCGGGACCTACTGACACGTTACGAGGACTTCGGCAAACAGGGCCGGCCTGTGTACAACTACCACGACACACTCAGGGTGAACTTCAGCCTCTCTCTCATACAGATACTAGACGTCGATGAGAAGAACCAGGTTCTCAAGCTCAACATATGGTACCATTATGTAAGTAATTATGACTGAATGTCAACTATTTACGACTACAGTAAATTGTCGAGAAAGTGTCTCACCAACCCTAGACTATTATACATAATGAAATGTCTCCTTCCCCCTCGCTACACGATTGCTATCTACACGTGTCAGTTACAATTGTGTGTCCCTACAACTTGATGTCCCTGTTATTCGTGTGCACAGACCACTGCTACATTTGTAAAGTACATGTTTTCCTTGTTTTACATGACTACAATAATTATGACATCCAAGGACATCGTGAGTAGCTCATTACAGAGGAGGATTTGACATATCCAAATCCTGTACTGGGGATTCTGACGGGAGAAAGTTCATCACGGTCATCAAGCATACAATCTGAAGAATCCATGTAACATGGTGATCATTACTGATGAGTAAACCCTTAACCTTGCAACAACCATTCATTAATGCGTCATGGTATGCTCCTGTTGACCCGCCTAATGTCCATTCGGGTCACCTGGCCCCACTTGTGTGTTTCGGGTCCTTTATCGGTGACGTACCACGACGGGGATAAGATAGGGAGTCATCGGTGGCCATCGATGAAAGAACACAGTGGTCATGCGGCTAAGGTGGGTACGTGGATTATCGTCATGGAAGACAAACCTTCCACTGGGTTTACATGCAAAGGGACGAACATGCAAAGGCGCGCACATCAGGCGTCGGCGTGTTGTCACTGGAGTACCGACTCCGAAACACAGTAATGGCTTTCTGTTACTGGTCACTGGTGCCATACAATACCGCCACAGTCTGAATGATAATAAGGCGACTAATATGGCTCTGAACTCCACGTCGCTTAGGCATACTCTAAGCACATACAACTAAAAGATGAACAATTGTCAGCAATTAAGAAACAGATGGGTCTTTAGGCCAGATTAGAAGGCAGTCTAGGAAAGAGGTCATGTGAGGTGAAGGGGAAGAGAGTTCAATAACACAGCAGCAGAGTGTTTGAAGGATCTGGAACCAAATGTCTTCAACTTGTAGGGAGGTACGGAAAGGGGGATTTTGTCAGCTGAACAAAGGTTTCTGGGGGGTTGATGCACTGCTGTTAGAGTTTGAACATGTGGGGGTTGGGGGTTGGGGGTTGGGGGTTGGGGTTGGGGTTGGGGTGGGGGTGTGGGTTGGGGTGGGGTGTGTGTGTGTGTGGGGGGATATTGTTACCGTTGAAACTCTTCAAGACTGTTAGTCCCTCTCACAACACACAAACACCAGCGTGAATCTGAATCCGCCTGAGAATGTTACATGCCATTATTCCCATTTCCCCACTCCGTACGTTGTCTTTAATGTGGCGATCAGTCAAACATGGGATTTCCCGAGGCCTGCACTCAGATGAGTTGAGTTAAGTCAGATCTCCCCGGCAGTATGTGGTTGTCGGTTCTGTTTGTCTTCGATCCCATACAGCCTAGGAGAGACGACCCTGTCGGGTGTTCTGTGTCTGGCTCTGCTTGATCGAGTCGATAGTGGAAGTTTTATGCTTAATGGAATCTCTTCCACAATCTGTTGACCTGCGGACTATAACACAGTATATTTGGTGACGGCGCTAAACTGACTGTGGTTCTAAGACACCCGTCATGTTGCGTATGCTTTATTGTTAATTTCGCACCAAACAATAGTTTGGTTTGCAGTTGGTTGTTTTCACATTTTAGTAATTTAAAAGCTTTTTGATCCGAAATGTACCAGTACTCATTCAATGGATCTACGATGGACGGCCGACTTGAGGGCGATATTTTGGACTTCAGCTGTCACGATGTAGTCATGTATTGCACGGAAAGGTGTTTTCGATTGCAAGCTCTGTCGGTACTGAGGAGTTTTGTAAATAATAATGAATATCCTAAACAGTACTGTATTCTTATATACAAGTGCATGTTTCTCAAAAAGCGTTCCCACTCACTGCATCTTGCTGTTCACACGTGTACGGCATTCACACGTGTACCAGGATGATTTCTCCTCTAAATACGGAAATAGATAAATGACATACAATCACATTACTCTGGTGTGCATAAACAAATGTCCTCTACACACATGTATATGATTGCTACTTCCTTACAGATAGTCGATCGTGTGTGCCAAATAAACCATTCCCTTCCATACCTGGACATGGTGGGCTGTTCCCGCGCGTACATAGTTCACCGTGTCAACGCATCCGTCTGCATAACTGATTGTTTCCATTCACATGTGTAGATAGTCGATCGTATCCATTCACACGTGCTCATAGTCGATCGTTTCCATTTACATGTGCAGATAGCTATGTATATAGTCGATCGTTTCCATTCACATGTGCAGATAGTAGATCGTTTCCATACACATGTGCAGATAGTCGATCGTTTCCGATTCACATGTGCAGATAGTAGATCGTTTCCATACACATGTGCAGATAGTCGATCGTTTCCATTCACATGTGCAGATAGTCGATCGTTTCCATACACATGTGCAGATAGTCGATCGTTTCCATACACATGTGCAGATAGTCGATCGTTTCCATACACATGTGCAGATAGTCGATCGTTTCCGTTCACATGTGCAGATAGTCGATCGTTTCCATACACATGTGCAGATAGTCGATCGTTTCCATTCACATGTGCAGATAGTCGATCGTTTCCATACACATGTGCAGATAGTCGATCGTTTGTATTCATACGTGTTTCCTTTCAAAAGTGAACATGATTGATTGTTACCATTCACATGTTTGTATGGTTGGTATATTGTTCCTTTATCCAGTAAATATGTGTACATGATTGTTGAATCCAGTAAATATGTGTACATGATTGTTGAATCCAGTAAATATGTGTACATGATAGTTGAATCAAGTAAATATGTGTACATGATTGTTGAATCCAGTAAATATGTGTACATGATTGTTGAATCAAGTAAATATGTGTACATGATTGTTGAATCCAGTAAATATGTGTACATGATAGTTGAATCCAGTAAATATGTGTACATGATAGTTGAATCAAGTAAATATGTGTACATGATAGTTGAATCCAGTAAATATGTGTACATGATAGTTGAATCCAGTAAATATGTGTACATGATAGTTGAATCAAGTAAATATGTGTACATGATATTGAATCAAGTAAATATGTGTACATGATTGTTGAATCAAGTAAATATGTGTACATGATAGTTGAATCCAGTAAATGACATGATAGTTGAATCCAGTAAATATGTGTACATGATAATCAAGTAAATATGTGTACATGATGAATCCAGTAAATATGTGTACATGATAGTTGAATCCAGTAAATATGTGTACATGATTGTTGAATCCAGTAAATATGTGTACATGATAGTTGAATCCAGTAAATATGTGTACATGATTGTTGAATCCAGTAAATATGTGTACATTGATCCAGTTGAATCCAGTAAATATGTGTACATGATAGTTGAATCAAGTAAATATGTGTACATGATAGTTGAATCCAGTAAATATGTGTACATGATTGTTGAATCAAGTGTGTACATGATTGTTGAATCCAGTAAATATGTGTACATGATTATTGAATCCAGTAAATATGTGTACATGATTGTTGAATCCAGTAAATATGTGTACATGATTGTTGAATGAATCATGAGTAAAAATATGTGTACATGATTGTTGAATCAGTAAATATGTGTACATGATTGTTGAATCCAGTAAATATGTGTACATGATTGTTGAATCCAGTAAATATGTGTACATGATTGTTGAATCCAGTAAATATGTGTACATGATAGTTGAATCCAGTAAATATGTGTACATGATGAATCAAGTTGAATGTGTACATGATAGTTGAATCCAGTAAATATGTGTACATGATTGTTGAATCAAGTAAATATGTGTACATGATTATTGAATCCAGTAAATATGTGTACATGATTGTTGAATCCAGTAAATATGTGTACATGATAGTTGAATCAGTAAATATGTGTACATGATTGTTGAATCAGTAAATATGTGAACATGATTGTTGAATCCAGTAAATATGTGTATGATAGTTGAATCCAGTAAATATGTGTACATGATAGTTGAATCAAGTAAATATGTGTATGATATGTATATGTGTACATTGATTTATTGTGTACATGATTGTTGAATATGTATGCATGTATATGTGTACATTATGTTTTATTGCACGTCAGTGTGTACATGATGGTGGCACTTTGATAATACACGATGCTGTTGCGGATGCGTCGTCTACATTGGGGGCGGTGAGGTAGCCTGGTGGTTAAAACGTCCGCTGGTCACGCGGAAAACCCGGGTTCGAATCCTCACATGGGCACAATGTTTGAAGCCCATTCCTGGTGTCCCCCGTCGTGATATTGCTGGAATATTGCTAAAAGCGGCGTAAAACCATACTCACTCACTCACTCGTCTACATTGCGGTGTGTTGTTCCGTGTTGTAGATTTGGACGGACCTGCTGCTGACATGGGACCCCACCCTGCACGACAACATCACCAGTGTCAGGGTACCGTCAGACAAAATATGGCTTCCAGACATCTACCTGTACAATTTGTAAGTACCCAGTTCATGATTATCTTCCGATTATCATAGGAAATTTCTAGTAATACTAAAACCGAATTCGTTAACGATTCCGGCTATATCGTGAACATTTCTTGATAATCACGTTGGTCTATAGGGACAACGCCAAGTGTTCTTGAAGAGCAATAGTGCTCCACGGTGGAAATTACACATGAGTAAATATAGCCTCGCATGGCTGCTTAAGCGCCGTATGAAGCAATCAACATGTAGTAAAGTGCCCGGTGCGTTCGTAGACTGCCTACTGAAGTTTAGGGCTTTATGTTTGCACCAGTCAACTAGATACAGACCACCTTCTTCTTGTACAAAATGAATTGCAGCGTCAAAACAATGATACATTTTTTCAATTCCACCGCGGCACGTTCTGAGCCAGCTGTGCTTATTGTTCTGTCAATCGTTTACTTCAGAAAAAGTCAGAAAGTGAAAGATCAACTAAACAACTGCACTAAAGATCTAATCATATTATGGAGAAAAGGAATCACTTTTCGAGTCAATACTTTAAATGGTTTTCGATCTGATTCCACGTGTTTCAATGACAACGAAGTAGGCCATGGACAGCGTCTTCTAGCTGCGACTATGAATCAACACGGTGGAGAACATAGCTGATATTTATGCAGCAGTATAACAGAGTTGAGCAGCTAACTGATCAGGTAGAGATGCTGCTGCTGCTGCTGCCGGCGTCGTGCCATCTGATGCTTAGGGCGTCCCAAGGGCGTGATCCAAGTAACTCTTCAAATATACGACGTAACAGAATCTGATGTCCCGTGTTATTGTATCAACATCATGGCATATTTCGGAAATGGAATTTGTCAGTTATCATTTTCTTTCGTTAAAGCTTAACACCCACTTTTCTTTTTTTATTTCTTACATTAGCCGCCTTTGAGTAAAAAACGTCATGCTTCAAAGATTAGCAAATGAATCACCGTGCATCCACTTCCCCAAGATGACATGGATGCTGTGGTGTGTGATGTAAAGATCAAATCATCGTTGACATCCACGTGTTGCTTGCTGCACACTGAATCAAGATTACACATGAATTCGTTGCTTTTTAAAAATTTGTATCTTTTTGTCAAGGCACACTGTGCTAATCTGTGTGGCAGTTAATTACGAAAATGAATGATGGATGTTTATAGTACCTACCTAATACTACATGGAGTCATGAGTACTCTTGCCATCTTGTTTAATCTTTTAAAAAGCTAAAGATCTGTAAATATTTTATACTATATATACAACGTGTAATGTTGAGAGTGTTTATTGATATGTTTTATGTAAAATGTCGTACAATTCCAATGAAAAGGCAATTAAAGCATGCCTGTATCATCCGAAACAGAACTGCAAATTCCCTTTCCAGTTGTGTAGCAGTTTAATGGATCAACAGTTTATTGGATTAGAATTCAAACTTATTTTGAACCTAAATAACAAGTGGTATTTCGTTAGGTGTTACACGCCTTTCTCATTTATACACTGTCGTGAAATGTCAAGGCTGTTTTCTCCTATTATTATTGCCACGTCGAGAACGTAGTGTTTACCTGCATTTGATTTTTTTAGTTTGTACACATACATAGCTACCAGCAAGAACAGTTGTTTAAGGATACAAATATCATAAAACATCTTTATGTATTCAGATTTATATGTCAGTGTATAGTGTATGATAGGTATCGGTGAATATAGATGGCTGCGGCGCTTTGATATTGATTCCAAAAGATTTATGCTACCCAATTTAAATTAAGTCATTTCCGAAAGCATTAATACTCTAATGTTAATCAAAATGTGTTGATGTTTGCTTAATGTTTCTTGAATAACTTCCGTCCAACACGCATCTATAATAAAGACTATTGATGGCGGTGTTAAAAACGATTGTCAAATGAAGAAAATCTTGAAAGTCTTCCTTACTTTGATGTTGACTGATTGATCAGTTTATATCTCCACTGATCGCTGACCTACTACCCCGCTAGGCGCTGCAGTGTGACGCGTCATGCCACGTTCGGTGAACCCTATTTCGTGGTTTGATTTGGGGAGCGTGTGACTCGCAATGATCTAATGAGGGGGCAACGAGGAGAGCATCTTAAGAACGACCAATATATTTCCATTTGGGTGTAGATGCATTAAGATAATAAGGTAATTGCGAGAGTGGTGGCACAATCGGTTAGCCAATCAAACCAGCCAGAGACAGCTTGATGGTGAAATATATCTGTCTTTGTAGATGAGATGGGATGAAATGTTCTACAGTGAATGATGCGCTTATAATCACGGTGCTGGTCAGGAATTTACTGCTTTGTCACCTGATGCTGCATTGATACAACCGCTGTGTGTCAGGCTCGCTATAAAACTGAATACGTGTCGTAGTACCTGCTACTACGTGTATATTCGTCCCTTAATCGGTAATTGAATACTAGGTTAAACTGAAAGCATAGTTGACACACCGACTGGTCAAAAAACATAATCTGTAGACTGATTGTTGAAAACAACATAGTCGGTAGCTACACTAGTTTAATCATCATGGTCATAGAATAATTGATTGTTTATCCATTGTAATCGGTGGGTTGACTGCTAATTAAAAATATTCTGTAACTGGTGTGGTAGTTTACACATTACAATTAATAAGCTGACAGAAAGTAAAGAAGCGCAGATTTATACATATAATGTTACATACATACATGGCATTAGATTTATGTTTCAGCGCTGACGACCGTCTTCGAGAACAACGAGAGGCTCTGGTGGTGGTTCAGCACAATGGGGAACTCCTGTGGATGCCACAAGCTATTCTCAACAGTTCCTGTTCTTTTGATACTCTGTTATTCCCCTTTGACTCGCAAAAGTGTTCCTTGAAGTTCGGTTCTTGGACCTATCACGGACAGAAGGTTGATTTGGACTTTGTGGCAGGTCAGAGCGCGATGGACGTGAGCGACTTCATGCCGAGTAACGAGTGGGACCTCATTGACAACTATGGCGCGCGGAATGTCAAGTTCTACACTTGCTGTCCAGAGCCGTACCCAGACCTGTTGTTTACACTTAAAATACGCCGGAGAGTAGCATTCTATACATTTATCCTCATCCTGCCCTGTGCCCTGCTGTCCCTCCTGACTCTCGTCATCTTCTGGGTGCCGCCTGAATCTCCGGCCAAGCTTCAGCTGGGTAGGTCATCTTACACTGTACATCGTGCTCCACTTCGTATCTTAACTCGTATGTCTTGCTCAGCTGTTTAGATCATCGTGTAACCGTGTTTAACTGTGTAGATCATCTCGAAACATTGTTCATAGATCACATTGTAACAGTGTTCGTATATCATCTCATAACAGTGTTCAGCTGTGTAGATCATCTCATAACAGTGTTCAGTTATGTAGATCATCTCATAACAGTGTTCAGCTATGTAAATCATCTCATAACAGCGTTAAGCTATGCAGATCACCTTCTAACAGTGCTCAGCTGCGAAGATCTTCTCGTAGCAGTGTTCACTTGTGTAGATCATCTTGTAACGGGTGTTCATTTATGTAGATCATGTTCTAACAGTGCTCAGTTGTGTAGAGAATCTCGTAACAGTCTTTCTAGATCACCTTCTGACAGTGTTCTCAGATCATCCCGTAACAGTGTTTAACTGTGAAGATCTTCTCAAAACGTGTGTAACTGAGACACTCGATCGGTATGCCGACATGGGATTGCCTGATCTATGCGTTTGCAAAGCAATCGTACTTTTCAACTAATTATATGCCGTCTTGTATATTTGTGTGGTGTTCAGCTCCGTAGTCTGATACATGATTCTGTCTGTGATTTACTTTACTGTTCATCCAAAGCAGAAATTCTGCAGAGTATAAAATATCTTATTTTGCTTATTATCGTAGCAGGTATCGTATCGTACACAGTACACTCATGACAACTGTAACTAACTCCATCTTATCAAGATTGTTCCCTATATGCATCTGCACACACGCATGTTTTAAACACAGTAACTGGTAGCCCATGGTCAGTGGCACTGAGAGATGGACACATCCTCGTACAGTAGGGTACTTCAGTTTCCTGAATCAATGGACGTGATGTCGGATTTGCTACTCGCCTGTTGTATTTTGTTTGAACACACCCCCTGTTGCCGGGACTAGACACAGTTAAACTTGTGCGGCCTGTGCAACCTTTAGCTCCTACTTCTACTACTACTACTATTACTACTACTACTATTACTACTACTACTACTACTACTACTACTACTACTACTACTACTACTACTACTACTACTACTACTACTACTACTACTACTACTACTACTACTACTACTACTACTACTACTACTACTACTACTACTACTACTACTAACTACTACTACTATTACTACTACTACTACTACTACTACTACTACTACTACTACTACTACTACTACTACTACTACTACTACTACTACTACTACTACTACTACTTACTACTACTATTACTACTACTACTACTACTACTACTACTACTACTACTACTACTACTACTACTACTACTACTACTACTACAACTACTACTACAACTACTACTACTACTACTACTACTACTACTTCTACTACTACTATTACTACTACTACTACTACTACTACTACTACTACTACTACTACTACTACTACTACTACATCATTCATATAGCGCCTAGTATCCATCTGACTAGTTGCTCACCTGTCGCTGTAATCAGAATCTGATTATTATTACCCCGAATAACCCAAGGTGACATGACTTTCTCCAACCGGGTACCCATTTTCTGCTTGGGTGATTCACTTTCTCCAATTTTTGAGCAACTGCTACTTGCCTAAGGTGAGACCACTACTACTACTAATCTTGCTACTGCTGCTGATACTACTGTTACTACTACTACTATTCACTACTACTACTACTATTCACTTCTATTCATTACTGCTACTATGACCACCACCACCACCACCACTACTACTACTACTACTACTACTACTACTACTACTACTACTACTACTACTACTACTACTACTACTACTACTACTACTACTTGGTAGACTGTTGAAAGGCACATGATTCTGTACCTCCCACTGAAAAAGGGGCGACTACCTGTTTTGCTCAAAACTCAAAGCTCAACTCAGTTGGAGATGTGTATGTTAGGTTGGTTACAGATGCGTCAAATTTGGAAAATGGTCTTTACATATCTACCATTAAATCTGTTCAAAGCGTTACTGGGCCCGTTCACGTGGTAACCTTGATCAAACAACCGTCGAACAAGAGGTTTAACGCGCTCTTTGGATTCTTCTTCAGAAAGAACATATTCAGCGGTACCTCACCGATGGAATGACCTTAATTCCTTACACTTAGCTTTAGCGAGAGGAATAGCTATACTTTCTTATTAGTGCAGGTATAGTTATTGATTCTTACACGTAACAACAAAAAGAATACTTTCGCTCCCTATATTTAAAGGGGATTCGACCTTGGGCAGACAACGCACAGTCTCGTTGATTCAAGTCATACAACACCCACTTTGTCTGTCTTCTTAATCTTATGTTGCCGATCAATCAAGCAGTCAGTGATAACCCTGACTGAACAGGGGCAACGTCTCAATTTCACGCATGGTCTGCTTTACAACTTATTGACCAAGATCAGCGGGGATGTCCGTGATCAGTAGTTCACCATACATTCTAATCCTTGTCTGTACATCTTTATACCTACCACGATGTATATGAATGTGTGTACATCCTTACACATACCATGGGATATGTGAATGTATGTTCTTCCTTCTGGATACCATGACGTATGTAAATGTACGTATACCCGTATACCTGCCATGACGTATGTAAATGTACGTATACCTGCCATGACGTATGTAAATGTACGTATACCCGTATACCTGCCATGATGTATGTAATGTGTACGTACCTGCCATGACGTATGTAGATGTACGTATACCCGTATACCTGCCATGATGTATGTAAATGTACGTATACCCGTATACCTGCCATGACGTATGTAAATGTACGTATACCCGTATACCTCCCATGATGTATGTAAATGTACGTATACCTGCCATGACGTATGTAGATGTACGTATACCCGTATACCTGCCATGATGTATGTAATGTACGTATACCCGTATACCTGCCATGATGTATGTAATGTACGTATACCCGTATACCTGCCATGATGTATGTAATGTACGTATACCCGTATACCTGCCATGATGTATGTAATGTACGTATACCCGTATACCTGCCATGATGTATGTAAATGTACGTACATCCTTATACATGCCATGATGTATGCGAATGTACGTAATCCTTATACATGCATAAGCTATGTGATTGTACGTACATCCTTACACCTGCCATGACCTATCTGAATGTACGTAAATCCCTATGTCTACCATGAGGTATGTGAATGCACGTACATACGTATACCCCCCATGATGTATGTGAAAGTACGTACGTCCTTATACCTGCCATTAGATATGTGAATGTACGTACATCCCTATTATTCACACCATTAGCTATGTGAATGTACGTACATCCCTATTATTCACACCATTAGCTTATGTGAATGTACGAACTGCCTTGTACAGCCATGACCTATGTGAATGCCCGTATAAGCTGCCACCTGTCATGACCTATGTGAATGGCTGTATCTCCGTATATCCACCATAAGCTGTGTAAATATCCTTGTACCTGCCACGACCATGACCTATGTGAATGTATGTACTTCCTTGTACTCGGAGCTGTAGACAGTATATACATTCTCAGACGTCTATTTAATCATTGCCTTCGTGAAAGGATATTGTGCCTTAGATATATGATACAAGACTATTTGTTTTGTTGAGATTGTTTATACATTATTGCACTTAATCTCGAGTTCTGTGAATGAACATCGATCGTTATACGTCTTCCTGGAGAATGTGAATGGTTTTACCATTACTCATTAAGAGACACTAAGCTCAAGCGTGTGATGCTATTTGCCGGCATGTAACACAGACGCTGTAATAAATGCGAGTAATATGGAAACCTCTGTGTAATTAGCCTATCATTAAAATTCTGGATTGTCTTTATCATAAAATGTGAACAGGTGTCAAAGGTTGTTTTGAAAAGAAGATTATTTCAAGTCTGACCCGTGAAGATCCGGGTTAGAATTGGTCTTCAGTAACCCAGGCTTCTCGTAAGAAGCGACTAACGGGATCGGGTGGTCAGGCTCGCTGACTTGGTTGACACATGTCATCGTATGCCAGTTGCTTAGATCGATGCTCATGCTGTTGATCACTGGATTGTTAAGCCAAGATTCGATCATGTACAGACCGCCGCCATATAGTTGGAATAGTGCTGAGTATGGTGTTAAACAAACAAACATTTCCAATCTGCCACTTTGTCCAGGCTTAGTCCCATATTGCTCTGAAATACATGGATGGTTGTGATTCTATATACGGAAGCCTGTATAATCTGACATTCTCTATCCACTTGGAAATGTTTCACTGATGTTTAATGTATGACGTTGATAGAGAACCATCCAGGAAATAGCAAAACACGAGTGAAGGATATCAAATACACAGCCATGAAATTTAAGTACCACGCTGTAAACTAAGTCGGTTGATGCATAGATGGCAATCGATGGTTGTACAATAACTAGTCTTAGCTGTAGAATACAGGCAAAGAGATATTAGTTCCGTACTACAGCCCATGGAGATGACATCGTAGCATCCCAATACGCAATATGCTACAGAGTAACTTTGCTCATTTCCCCTTGTTGCCCGTGGATGCGTGGTTCCAATATCTGACTAACGTCTACATCGACAATCAATCAATTATCATGCATCGCGCATACTGGGGAATTTGTCCTAATTTGGGCCATATTATTTGTATCACGGCTCGGGTAATATTTCATTCTATTCGTGTCTCGGAGAAGCGAAAACGATTGCAACCGACTCCTGTTCTACCGTGAAATGATCTATATCCAGTCATTATGAACATGGGGGAAAGTCTGTCACCGCGGTGCAGTGTGCAATAGTGTAGAAGTGTTGTTGTGTTAATGTAAGGACTACTTCGGTACCTGGACAGGCGAATTGCAAAAAAAACCAATAATGCATTGTTTCGTCAGCTCATAGAAATGGATGTAAAAGAAATTGCTTTATGTGTATTTATATTTAGTTAGATACAGTGTGAAATAGCTAT